ATAGATAGATAGATAGATAGATAGATAGATAGATAGATAGATAGATAGATAGATAGATAGGAGATACACAGACACACACACACACACACACACACCTGTAATCAATACCCCAAGATATCTTCTGTTAAAAGAAATATCCAGAGTGATATCTTAAAAAGCTTTTGTGAAAGGGACAAAACCAATGTGTTCATTGCCTGTAGCTGAAGGAAAGGAGATTCAATCTCTGTTCTTTCCCATAAAAGCTGAAGGAAATGAGTATTTAAGAGATTCAGTCATTGTTCTTTTCCATAAAAGTAAACAATCTAGTCAACGAGCCAAGGCTGCTCACAAACCACAATCACATAAGTGTTAAAGTTAAGCAACTAGTAAACATTGAAATGGGCTGAACAGTAAAACTAAGACTTTCTCTCCTAAATCTCCCTTCCATAGTCTCTTTCACTTTATTATTATTATTTTCTTATTTTCTATTTTTATTTTTGGAGCATTGTGCACAAATACTGTTTTCTGGATTCCAGAACTCCAGACAAGAGACTGGACTGGAACTTTACAAAGGATTTTGAACCCATTCAAGGAAATTTAAAAGAGAAAAGTGAGACTAATTCAGGCTTTGTCAGAATCTAGAGCATAATCCCAACATGAGGCCATACCATTACATTAGGCTAAGAGTGCCTTAAGGTTGCCACAATAATAAAAATAGTTGATGGACAGTGATACAGTTGAAATACTTTTAAAGAAAATAAAGAAATAAAAAAGAGTAAATAACCATCTATACAACTATGGTAGACCTGTGTTTTCCTGCCTAATAAATTTATCAACTAATAATACTGGTCTGACATATCTTTAATAAAACTATGTTAGATTTTTTTTTAAAAAAGTGTGTCACTTCTCTGGCTCATCAGCAGTTCCTTTGCTGACTTATATTGGCCAAGAAATAAATATTTTATTAGACTTGATCAATATTGAATCTGCCGCAATAAATAGGTAATCTCTCAATGTTTCAATGCTGATATAAAGATACTCAGAACAACCTGAAATTAGGATGTTGGATCCACACTACCAGCAATATTGATTTCACATTCTTTAATATTAAGAACTGTAGGTAGAGTTGGGGTATATCAACCAAAATAAGGATTGGCCATACTTTCCTGGTGGATATGCATTTGCTTTCTTACAATATACAAAATGATTATTCAGTTCAAAAGCAATCATGGTGAACGAACAAATTTGAATAACACATTTCCCTCTGATTGATTTCTGGACACTGTAATTTAATGTGCATTTAATTAATGCGATGAAGTTTCTGATAAACTGCTTGTGATGAACTTCCTTATTGTGTTATTTATCTACTGAAGGACAAGCAAATACTTGCTAAGAACATTTGTAAGCTCATGAAACTTATTACTGTATTTCAGGTCTAGATGGTATTTCAACATTTCTGCTTTTTCTTTTAAATGATGCCTAGAAAAACTTTTAGTTTGCAGTTTGTCCTTGAGAAAACAGATTTATCGTGTGGTTCAATATTGGTTGCCTAAACTACCGTACATCCTTTCATGGCTGAATTGCTGAAACTGTATTTTGTGTAACATGAATACAGGCATTTCAATAAACAGTAATTTAGAATGTCAAACTACTGTTTGCCTGCCTATCTGATTTCATGCTGGTTGCTGTTAGAATGATTTAGCTACACAATAGGTATAGCTGCCATATCATATCCAGTATGTTTATATGGAAAAAGGGATTCAATATCTGAAATTGTTCACCTCCAGTATTGATATCACTGACATCTAAATGCTATGTATTGTGATCTTTGAAACTTTTCAGTTATTGCCAGAGGCTTCTCAGCTATCTATGAAACAATCAGGGACAGAGGGGTGTTGGTTAGAACCCTACATTACAACACTTTTCCAGTTAGCTCTCATCTAAAAGAGCAAAACTTTAGCCTGTCCCTTTCTTGAGGTTTGCCTAACAATACAATACAATAATTTCAGATGTTGCTAGAAGTTTATAAAACAAGGGAACATAGAGAGTTTCCATACATCAAAAGCAAATTCTAGGTCATCTAAACTAGCATTAACAGCAACTGTCAAGAATAGGTTTTTCCAGCTATAATTGGACTTGCCGAGGACTGAACCTGGGACCTTCTTCATGCATATCACACGTTCTACCATGCTATAGTCCAGTGATGGTGAACATTTTGCTGGTTGGGTGCCAAAAGGGTGTGCATGCAATAATGCACGTGTGCATGCCCACACCCATAATGCAATGCCATACCCGTGCATGCATGCAGAACACACCCGGTACTCCCCCTTGTGCATGCGTGCATGTCACACTGAAGTTTCCAGAGTTCTGTTAGGCCCATTGGGGCATTTTATGCCCTCCTCAGGTTTCAGGAAAGGCCCCTGAAGCCTGGTAAGGGCAAAAACCACCCCTACTGGAACTACCGGAAGTTCATTTCTCTTATCAAGATACCCAGAACTTTCGGTACTTCTTGATGGTGATGCTACTTCTTTATGAACATGATGATCAAAACAACTGACACTCTCTGCCTGTCAAAAATATCAACTGTGAAAATTAGATGTTCAACTAATTTTTCCTCTCTTTGTTTCCACCTGGGTCTCCAAGAAGTGGGAGCTCTGCTTGTGTTGTGTGGACCTTTAATCACAGCCAATTTCAGAAACAAACTAGAATGTGGGTCTGTCAAATCAACAATTTTCTTTGGTTACTAAAACATATCCAGTTGTTCATCCTTAAGGGGTACCCTAATGATGTATTCCCCTTCCTGGCAAGCAGAGAAACACAAGCTATTTTTAAAAGATTCTGGAAGTGCATATTTGCACAATTTCTTGAGTTTCAAAAGGAAACAGAATGTCATTTTTTTTACATGTTCAGATACAGTACATTATGGCTTTATGTCATTATGGAAAGTATACCTCTAAGTATCCAAGAAGATCCAAGAACTGAAAGTAGCTTTGACAGTGTAGGACTTCAGAGATTTTGTCCTGAAAACAATATTTATTCTTTTACATTACTATGAAGATATATAATATGAAGATTATTTAAACTATTAACAATTCTTCATGTTGCTTGGGTATAGCTAGATTAGGATTAAGTGTGGTTGGGAAGTTTGTGGGTCAATGGGTTTGAGAATTCAGCTATTGTTGTATGTACCAGGTCATGAACATCAATGTATAACATGGTTCATTTTGATATAGATCAGTGATTGTAAAAGTGTAATTTGAACATATACTGGGGGTAATAGAGCAATTTGTAATTGCTTGTTTCTGAGCTGAGGATGCAACTTGGGACTGCGGAGACAGTTATGTAAGAGATTTTTTTGGGGGGGAGGGGTTAATTACATTATTTGAGACCAGGCAAAGGAGTAATGGGGGTCAGGCAATTTAAGAATCCCTGATGTAGAACCTTACATTGTCACAATAGCTGTCCTTCATTAACCTGGGGTTTGAGACTTAGTGTGTTATGTGCATTTAGATGATACATTCATACAGACTTTCCTTAAATTTACTTTTTTGGTTTTATAAGTTACCATTTTGTTTCACTTACCCACACAGATTGTGGAGGCTGATTTTTAATATGTCCAAATTCTTTATTTTTCCCTTATCGTTTTCTTTCATTCATACATTATGTCACATTTGTTTGGAATTAACCATCATTAACTATAACCTGGATTGCCTGTTTAAATTTCATTTTCAAAGCATTTTAAATAAAAAAACAGTGGTTAACTATGACTAAGAGTGATTAACAGCAATATGGATAAAACAGTAAACTAGGGTTAAAGCAAACTTTAGAAATAGAAGGGGATTTTTGTAAATTATGCAAAAGTGCGTAATTTTCAGCATATGCCACAACTCAATGATGTTGGATTTACATAGTGCGATTACTGTCACAAACGAATGCATTTATTTTCAACACATGCTTTTTCAAAAGGATGAACCTATATATCCTTAGTAATAGCAACACACTTAGAATTATATATTATTTCCCGTTGCTTTCCGCCGTCTCATAGTGGGTTACAGAGTCATCATATTGCTCCCAACAACCTGGGTCCTCATTTTACTGACCTCGGAAGGATGGAAGGGTGAGTCAACCTTGAGCCGGTGAGAACTGAACTGCTGAAGTGAGCAATGAATTAGCCTGCAATACTGCATTCTAACCATTGCACCACCATGGCTCTTAGGTTCAGATGTTTGAAAGCTTTAAGAGGAAATAAAAATGCTGCTGTTACAGCACTCTGGCTTCCAAAATCTGAATGTGAAACAGGTATAATTATTACTGAATATGAATAAACATGGTTCTATTAAACATTGGCGCACTGCCGCATGACCATAATTTCTAAGACAACGTCTGATATGTTTCCATTTGACTGTTAATGATGAACGAAAACAATATGGTAATCAATAGGGTGGAAGAAAGTGCGGTAGATACTGCTGACATCCTGGAGCAGTTCAAGTAATAAATTTGAAAGGATTTATTACTGTTTTAAATTCTCCAAACAGCCTCTGGAATACAATTGACTATTGAAAAGGGACCGAGTTCTCAATTGCCTTTCAACATTCTTCTACGTTTACATGATGATAAATTATACTTACCAACGGCAGACTTTTCAGGAACATTGGCTGTATAAATATTCTTGGTGAATTTGGGCTCATTGTCATTGATGTCATGGATTTTAATGATAAATTCCGATTCTGGCTCCACCTGTCTTCCGGTATTCCGATCTATAGCCTTGGCACGTAACACATACAGAGACCTTTCTTCTCTGTCCAGCCTTTTTGCTGCATGAATATCCCCTGTGTTTTCATCTATAACGAATACGCTGCCAGCTCCATCTCCTGTTAATATGTATTTTAAATTCCCATCTCCTTTATCTTGGTCAGTGTGCAGCTTTAAGAAAGGAAAAAGAAAGGGACAGACAGAGAGAGCAAATTTAATAAATTGCTGCATTGTTATTAAAGACAATCTATTTCAGCAGATATGAATAGGACTTCACAAATCTTTTCTGTAATTGAGGTCAGCAATGGTTATCATCTCTTTCATTGATGGAGAAATAAAGTGACAAAAGATTTTGGTCACACAAGCAAAATGCTTTGGAAAATGGATAAAGGACAAAGAACGTAAAGAAGGAAAGTTTACTGTAGTAAAACTGAAGTGAGATGACAAATGTAGTTTCTTTCCTAGGTTGACTTGTACCAACAGAGTTTTTATACAGAAAAGCATCCTATTGATAGCAATTAGTAACCTTTCTACCGTTTAAGTATATTGCCAATAGCTATATTGTTTTTCCGAATCATTATGTGTATAAAGGTATTTCTTTTTAAATGAGGTGAAGTGTTTCTTTTAAAATAAGTAATAAAGGAAAGAAAGTATAACAATTGCCTACTTAAAATCAAATAAATCTAGTCCAGAATCCTGCTAAACAAATTGAAATATATCTGTCATAACACAATACAAGTTACCTTTTGAAGACCTCAAGTGTAAATGTCCCTTGGATATGGAGAACTAATGAATAATAGGACTGAGATGAGATTTATAAGAAAATTATATATATATTTATTCTTTTATTTATGCATGCATAAATGGCTTTATTTACTATTATTTATCAATGGTGAACTAAACAACTATTACTGAAATTATATATATATATATATATATATATATATATATATATATATATATATATATATATATATATATATATATGTGTGTGTGTGTGTGTGTGTGTGTGTGTGTGTGTGTGTGTGTGTGTGTGTTTATTTGTGCTTATATATATATATATGTGTGTGTGTGTGTGTGTGTGTGTGTGTGTTTTATTTGTGCTGATAAATAAATAAAGGGAGACTAGTATAGATCTATTTCAAGCTATTTAGCTCTCATCAGCTAGCCATACCCTATTCAATTAGACTTATATATTAGACTTATATATTGCTTCACAGTGCTTTACAGCTCTCTCTAAGCAGTTTACAGAGTCAGCATATTGCCCCCAACAAACTGGGTCCTCATTTTATTGATCTCTCAGAAGGATGGAAGGCTTAGTCAACCTTGAGACGATAAGAATCGTACTGCCAAATCTACAGACAGCAGTCATGCAATACTGCATTCTAACCACTGTGCCACCACGGCTCTCTATACAAGTAGTCCTTGACTTACCACATTTGTTTAACAATCTTTTGAAGTTACAGCGGTGCTGAAAGCAATGACTTAGGACCAGGCCTTTGACTTACAACTATTGCAGCTTTCCCATGTCAAGTGGTCAAGATTCAGGTCATTGGAATTGGCATGTATTTACAAGAGTTGCAGCTTTTTCGGTCATTGGATTGCCCTTGCAATCTTCCTCGGGGTTTACTTCCAATGAGTAAAGTCAAAGGGAAGAGCTACACTCACTTAAAAACTGCATGTTTTGGTTAATCACTGCAGCAAATGGGTACATATCAGGTATATAATTAATTAATTATTACTAATTGCAACATTCAATGATGAAGGTTTCAGTCCCAGTTGTGATTGGAAGTCAGGCTCTATCTGTAATATATTTTATTTAGTTTTGCATTCCTTTCAAAATGGCTTACAACAATTGAAGCCCACAATGATCAAAACAGCCAAGGTTTTGGGAACAACTGCACAAACCAAACTCCACCCCTTTTGTATGTGATAATCTACGCACAAAGGAGTTGTGGTTTGGATTTTGAGATAATTTTTTCTATCTTTTTCCTCTTTTGGTCTTCCACCTCTCTCCTTCTCCTGTTCATCACTTATAGGAACAGTTCTTAGGCAGCCGGACACCTTTAAAACAGTTGAGAACTTACTGTGAATATTGTTACAAAATGGCAGCTAGAAGAGCCTTATGACTAATGAATTTTATAAAACTCTACCTCCAGACCACAAAAGATAAGAGATAAGATAAGATAACCTTCATTGTCTTTTTTTCAGTACACTGGCACATACTGAAAGATGAAATTGTGATGCCTTCTCTCAAAAGAAAATAAATAAATAAATCACACACACACACACACACACACACACATATATATACATATATACATATATACATATATACATATATACATATATACATATATACATATACACATATACACACATACACATATACATATACATA